CATATTGTGATCTAAAAAATATAATTATGTAGGTCTTAACTGGCTAAATATCTATTTAGCACCTATTAATGAGGCAGGTCTTCCCCACATTGAGGTCTCCAACAACCACCACTTTTGACATTTTCTGTCTGTCCCACCTTGAAGAATACAAGAGACACATGATTTTGAAATATGATATTGAGAAAAAATAAGAATGATGCATCAAACCAATACAGGAGACTCACGGCTGATGCCTGGCAGCTCTGTCTTTACAGGCTACTTTAGCTTGAACATCCCAGTCTTTTTTCATCTGCATAGAGGCCTCAGGTGTGTAGCACTGAAAAGAACAGGATGATTTACTGATCACAAAGTCATTTAATGCATGTTATTAAAACACTAAATAGCTCTGCTATGCAAACAACTCAGTGGTAAAACTAAAGGTTTGACCTGATGATGGCGCTCAAAGAAAAGTGTATAACCATCTGTCTTGAGGAGACATGTTTGTACCAAATCTCTTGGTTATCAAACTAATCAATATCTGTACAGAATTGTGTGTAAATCCATCAGGTAGAGACTGAGATATTCAAGGATAATTGAAAAGTTATCATTAAACAACATTTAAATTCAGGGATTCAACAAAATCATCAGAAATCATCCCTCCTTTGTGCAACACAGATCTGTATTAGATTTAATGGTGATCCCTGCAATCACCACTTCGACACTTCCATTTGAGATGAAGAATGTGAACCTTAAGGTGGTGTTAAAGGACAGTCGAGAAATCACCACAGTCTGGAAGATTAATTTTCTGTGGCCCAAGAATGTCTTTTTAGATTTCTTGACAATGCATCCAATAGTTAAATGGTTGTATTTTTTATATTTTTATTTATTTAGTTGTTGAGAAATTTCAGTCTGGACTGAATTTATGAACCAACTGACCAAAAAATAAACATGACCATATTTGTGCATCTCCACTATGGCTAAAACATGTATGTCTGGTACTTATTTTGTAATGAACAGCTGGAGAAGCAATGCAAATGAAGTCAACAAGTGACTGGTCAGTACTTTATGTTCCTATGGAAAGCAATTTATTTCCTAACATGGTTCCACAAGTTGTGCCTGTTTTATATTCATACATGGGAATGTTACAGTGTAACTGGGTTAGGATAAATTGGGTTAACTCGCATCGTTACAAGAAAACCACTTAAGATGCCTCAAAAACTGCTTCACTTCTGGTTCTCACACTCAGGAACACAACACTGTGGGTGGATTTGTATGTCACCCAAAAACAGACGTAAGCATTAATTTGACCTGCTAATAGTATTCTCTTTCAGCATCTACAATTTTAGACTTTAATATGTCAGTAACAATGGAAGGTATATATATATTTATATATATATATTATGACAATTGTTACAGACTATAGTGGCAGGGTTCTCAGGCGAATAACAGTTTCTCTGAGAACCAGCATTACCAAACATCATGGATTCCTCCTAACAAACTAAACTGCTGTAAAAATTTTTTAATGAAGACAGAGAGCAGAAGGACATGCTGACAGAGGCTTTGATTGGGTCGCTGATTGTAACAGCATGCACAGTAATTACCCTGCGCTGTGATCTGATTTAACAATCTGACAGAGTTAGTTAGTGTAGGTAGAAGTCACACTTTCCCAATACACTGAACATCCTCCAGACTGGACCTCCTATACCGTTTTAACTACAGACAGGATGTGGATGTAACTGGAGCAAAGATTCTACCTTTGGGAATTCCCAGATGGCCCTGTCTCTGCTGATGGGTGGTGGGAACGACATTATTCCATTTCTGTACTCCTGCATGACGACCTGAGAGCGAATATGTAACAACAGTTAGCTGGACTGAAATTTGTGTTATACCAAGGCCTCTCAAAATGCACTTAGTTGCTGGTTTGTCTTTTAAAAACCTTTCGCTGTATTGTCTGTTGAATTCTGGAACACAGCTCGGTCTTATACAGTTTCTAAAGACGCTCTTCCAGCTGCAGCATCATGAAGTTATCTAGTACAAGGCTATGGTACAAGATCACTTCCTCCAAAATAAAAGGTGAATTGAAAATGGTATGTATAAATATAATCACCCTTTCGCAATTTTATTAATATATTAAATGTTTTCCTTTCACCACCCCACCACTGACCACCTCACCCCCCTCGGACACAAATGTGCACGATCTTACATATTCAGCAATGTGAATCTTAATTTTAATATGAATAGCCTGAACGGAAGTCCTGCCATAATTTGTTTTCAGTGACACTGGTAATGATGAGGCCGATAACACAACCACCCCTAGAAGCTATTATTCTTATTTATTAGCAGGCATCCCTATTTTTCTCGACGACGCTCAATTCACTCACACCGTGGATATCTTTACTCACCGCAGAGGAAACTACGTCCAATAAATCCTGGGTTCCTTGGGCTCAGTCGCTTTAGCTGCAGTCGCGAGCCCAGACGTTGTCAGACGAGCAGCTCGTTTCCATGACGACCATACTATCGCGCCTTTGTCACGTGATAATTGGGCTTTTATTGCACGGGGGTCCACACACACACACACACACACACACACACACACACACACACACACACACACTCGCACTAGACATACATGTTTTAGCCATAGTGGAGATGGTACAGATAATGGTCATGCTTACTTTTTTGTCAGTTGGTTCATATCTACTACCAATACCTAACAACCAAATATTAATATTGACATTTTGAGGAAAGCCACTGGTTCAAAAATATACACTGAAACCAGTATTAGGCACTTGGGCTTTATCACTGCATGATAATATCCAAAGTCCCACTTTTACCACTGTATCTAGAAAGCAAATACCCCTGCCCTAACTCTATGAATGTAACGTCTGCAGGAGTGCGCACCTTGTTAAGATCTCAGGCAAATTGTGATTGAATATGCAAGTACAATTTGAATGATCGTTTTTTAAATATTTAAGAAAACAATCGTGTCCTCCTTCCCGTATAGTGATAAAATGGTCGAAAGTGACCAGCAGAGGTCCCCCTTGTTAGCAAATTCCTCAGTCTAAAAACATGAACAATTAAGACTTTTAATGGCCATTTTCCTCCTTGGCTGTGACATTAGGCCTACAAAGTGCACAAATTAATGTGCCATGGCAAAATTGATCATTATATTTGCAATATGCTTTTTAGGCTATTTATGTAATCATTAACAGCAAAATTATCATAACACAATATTATCCTCCTGGACAGAGTCTAAGAGAGCTAATTAATAGCCTCCATTTATAAAAAAAGGATTACAATAATAATTTATGTAAACATGATGCTTTTTTCAAATCATACAGTGTGAAAAAAGATATGGAAATAAACACATGTACACTTTCTGAAGCATTGGTTTTACGGAGCCTTTCATATAACCAAATCCCTGCAACACTACTTATAAACGTATTGGGCTGGTTTTATGTGTTCAGTGTTTTCTCTTTTCTACATAATCATTTTTGTTAGTCTGCCTTTTATGTTGTGGTGGACAAAGTATTCATCTCCTTTATAAGGTATATATAATATATATCCCAAGTATAGCAGTGAGTTTCCCCTGCCTGTCACATAGGAGACTGGGTTTGATTCTCCATCCGTGAAAGTTAATCTTTTTAGATACATTGAAATCAAAATGTTCGAATGGTTGTGCTTCACAAACACAAGTATTTCCTGAGTTTTGGATTGTACCTGGTACCAAGTACTTGTTTGATATCACCTCTGCTGAGGTTCCAAGTAAACTGAGATAAGACCAAAAGTTGATGTAATAAAATACACACATTTATAGGTACATGGTCACCTGGGTTTAAAACAGCAACAGGGAGCAGATAATAAGCCTTGACCAGCTGATTTAAAAAGGCAGCCAACAAGAATAATTATAATATATAATAAACAGGTTTTTGAAGTTGGGCTTGATATGAAATGAGACTGGTGTTGATAAACAAAAACAAACAAAAAAACCCCCACCAGGGCCAATCACAAGGACCTGAGTTCTATCAAAATTGAGGTGGAGAAAATCTTTAAGCATCCAGTTTGTAAGAGAAGCTATATGTCCTAAGGGTGGTGAGGTTGATAATATTAAACTAGGGATAGCTGCTTTAGACATGTACAGAACTCCACATAATCAACTGACATCCTGACATTGAGAACACAAACGAGTGAGCGGCTCAGGAGTTTCCCAGAATTCCTTCTGGGGATACCAGAGGGTTTAGCGCATGTATATATATAAGCATATAAAAGTATGTAGGCTGTAGTGCACTGAAGGGTATGTGAATGCACTGTGCATTTAGACCAAACAGTCATGTGTGTCTGATTGCTGGAGGGTTTTTTCTATGAGGTGAAATTTGGGTTTCAGCATCTTGCACAAGGACACTTCGGCATGCAGATGGGAAAGGCTGGGATTAAACTGCCGACCTTCTGGCCTGAGGACGACCACTCTACCCCTCAATTAAAGTGTATGACATTTTCTTTTAGCTTTAGGTCTTTGAAGAGGACGAGCCAATGATCCACTGTTCATCTCCTGGTCCAGCACTACAATGAAAAAAACAAACAAAAAACAACCCTGCAAACATTTCTCAAACGACATCTGGAAGTGGTCTGGGCGGCATGTGGTCACAGTCTTCTAGATGTGTGGATGTTAAAGTGTCCTGGGCCACATATGAAGGCTACTCAGTTGACGTCCTCTGACTGAATGAATCCAATGTATTTTTACTCACTGTTTCACTTACATTGAATTATTTGATTCTGCAATATTAACACAAATTGATTTTCAGTTTTTTTTAAATGAGTAAACTTATTTCACTGAACACATTGCATTCATTTGCTTTGCCACTCCTTGCCCCCCTCCCCCTCCACACACAGCATAATTTGGTCTTAACAAATCGAAATGATGAACTTGTTTATTTGCAGGTAAAACAGGGAAGTGGGATCTGATTACAAGTGATCAGTGGAAACACATGTGGAGACACATTCTAATGCCAGGCTGTTCACTTCACATCAAATCACTCAAGATGGATTTAAAGATTTGAAAAACGCCTTGTGCATTGCCTTTTTTGGAATAGCATTGATCTTGTGTGTTAGATATAAGTGGATTTCATAGTTTCAAAAAATCGGGAGGATTATTTTTAATTACATTGTGGAGCTATTTAAAAAATATACATTCATTCAAGTTTTCAGGACAAATGCATTAGTGACATTGTTTAAATTAAGAAATGACAATGATATTCTATTTTTGATCAGTTCACACATAAAAAAAAACTTGCATTCAAAATACAAAATTATTCAATCTTATAAAATGAACAGGGAGTATAAATAGTGAGATGTCAATACATTAACCTTGATTTTACATAGAAAAAAAACCCTAACCCTAACCCATCTTTACCCATAGTGAGGGAAACTGAACATTATTTCTCTCATCTCATTCCTGCTGCTGTGAAATATGGACAATCAATAATCATCTATGACTCTTTTGTGTTAATTCATCTCTTAAGCAGAATTTGTTCAACTGCCTTTGTCACATCATAAAATAAGTAGCAGGCCTTGAAAATGAGCACTTCTATCCAGAACTACAAACTCCTGATGACCTCATGGGTATACTAACAAAAATGAAGAACATATAGTTTGTAACTGTGTGGTTATTGGTTGGAAACAGAACTGCATTAACAGTAAGTTTGTCTTCCATGCAGATCTAAATGTGACAGAGACAACCTTTTCGAGCTCTGGACTTTGATGTCAGATGAAACTATTTGCACAGACCACATTCTTTTCCATCTCAACAGTTTTTTACACACTTTAGCTTTTACAAACCAGTTTAAAACATGCATTCATAACACATAAAGGTATAAATAAGAATTATTCAAACACACACACACTGAGTCTTTATACAAAAAACCCTTCTCATTTAAGGGTTGAAATATTCCATTGAAGGACCCTGTCAGACCAATAATGGCACAGAGTCATAAAATTCATTCGTTTCAGTAACTGCACTGCAGTGGTGCAGCAGAGACACGTCAGAGGCCTCTAGTACAGATATGCAAGCAGCTGCCTTAAGTACAAAATAAAAATTA